CATTCAGGGTGTTGTTCCCATGCCAGCGTGCGCTGGGCTTACACGAGAGGGCTAGGCCAGCGTAGCGATCCCAGCATGGGCACTGTCATGCAGACATAGCCTCAAGGGAATCTGTTAGAAAATCCACCCAGGTCTCCCAGGAGCAGTCAGTGCACACTGCTGAGCCACTGATCCTCCAATCCCCTGGCTCCAGCATCTTTACCACTGGCACTGATTGGCCTCTGCTGGCAAAGTCTGCAGAGCACTGAGGACTGACGAAGCCATGGCCAACGAGCCGCACCCCAACCTTCTGCACACATTAACAGAGGCCGGAGGGAGGGAAGCTAGCCCTGTTGCAGTCCAAGCTATACCTGTTCCTGGGATCACAGAGGTCTCCAGGCTCCAGAGCAGTTGCCTAGTGCATGTCATGCCCATCAGCCATGTCACTGAGTCAGCCAGCGGTGATCATTGGAGACAGGTAACAGACATGTCCTTTGCTGCAGAGGAGCACACTGTGGCAACCTACTGTCGACTGGGATCTCATACCTTAGAGCTGCACAAGTACTCATCACAGAAGTGCACAAAGCCATGCACACTGCTACCCAGCCACCCGCCCAACCTGAACACAGATAGAGGGGCTTCCCTTTATCAGTTCAAATAAAGGTATACATCACAAGTATGATTGAAACCACTTTACTGTAAGCCCTGTGAATATGACGTGTGGGTATGTATCAGGGACAGATGCTAACAACAAATTGACAGGAGGGACTGAACCACATATTTCCTTTCCAGCACCATCCTGAGCCGAGGTATCTGGATATGTCTGATCTTCTGGCCTCATGCTGGCTTCTCAGTGGCCTGAACTGGATCTTGTGCATACCTTTGTCAGCGTGCACCTCTGAGTTAGCTGTCAGGCACCAGGAATGTCTTCCTAGAGCTGTCTCCCAGCTGGCCTGTGCATGGGCATTCTCTGCTATTTGCCCTGCAGCCAGTCTCTCAAAGACCCGAAGTACTAGGAACATATGTGTAGGGTGCACACCCACAGCTGGTGAACACTGGCTGCCCATGTTCATAAACCGCTGCACAAAACACATGCTTGCACTACAGGCAGCCCAGCCATGTCTGCAGGCTGCAGCCTCACCCAGAGAAGACCTCTGCCTTCCTCCTCCTTGTGTAGGGACCCCGAGCATCTGGCTGGCTGGTGGCAAGAGGAGAGACGTTTGCATGGGCTGCACATTTTACTTGCTTTGCAGGGGCTTGAGATGACGACCTCGGCCTATTTTCATGCACAACAGGATGAAAGCGGAGGCTTTCAGCATTTATAATATATAACTTGGGATCGATTTTTCCAGCCCAGCATTTTTAATAGAAACAGCATGTTCTGAGTGCCTGGAGCCTCGCTTCAATAGCACCCCTCAGCCCATCTCCTCCCCTCCCCCAAGGCTGGTTCATCTCTCCACTGTATTGTGCAGCTTTGCTTCCCAATGTCATGCCCATCATGCTGTGTAGGGCAGTGTGCCTGGGATACTTGTAAGCAAGCATGGTGCAGCATAACCCTTTGCACCTACGCAGCATGGTACAAATATTCAGCAGTTACTCCTCAGCCTCCCTTGCAAGGTACACAGAGGTTACCGAGAAGGGACGGCACGAGGCTGCTGAGGGAGGAGCATGAGCGTCAGGCTTAGAACGCTGTAGGCCCTGGTTGCCAGGCCTGGGCTCAGACCACAGCTTTCTCTGCAGAGCCCACCAGCTGGCACCCATCCTTCAGCAGCTCTCTCTGGTGACCACTGTTCCTCACAATCTCTCTCTCTCTCTCTCTTCCCTGACCAGTTCTTTGGGCTGGAAATGTTGCTGCTGTAGGCAGCTGTGTTGTTTCTAAATAGTTATTCCCATCCAAGGGTGAAGAACAGGGATGCTTGGAGACTTGGGCCCTTTGCTTATTAGCTGGAGCAGGCCACTGTCAAGTGACACAAAGCACTCCTTTCCCACTGGGCACCGCCAGCTTCTGCCAGCGCTGGGTGTGAGCCCCACACATGATGGAGGTAGTCACATCTCCTAGAGGAGGCACACAGATCCATTCAGCCGCCTATGTAGTAAGGTCTGGCAGCTCTTTACAGAGCCCAGGAATTCTACACAACAGGTTGGCACATGGAGTGAAGACCCAAGAGCCTGTACTCAGTAGAACAGACAGGGGGGCTGCATGTAACCACCTCAGTGGGACTTGGCTGGGGCTCACCAAGAAAGTCTCAGTGCTTGAACAATAATGGAAAGGACCACAATTCCGATCTAAGATCGGTCCCCCCACCCCACCCTGGGGTCTGTCGGGCCCTCTGCTTCATAGTGCAAGGGGCTGTGTCCTGCAGCAGCAGCACCACACTGGAGTTCTGCTTGGAAACTGCATCCCTGCAGCTCATTAGGACCCCTTAATGTGTCTTCCATAAGCACCAACCGGAGCTGCCTCAGCTGAACAAGTGGCATTGCAGAGGAGCCCCAAGCCACTTAGGTGTGGGACACGGCGTGGCCTACCATGGCAGAGCCTCCTCTGCAAACTGTGGCCTGTCCCCACCCGCTGTCAAATGTGCTGAGGCAGAGTGCTGGAATTCAGCAGCAGCGTGGCACAGCTGAGCCATCTAGTGGCCAAGCTATGAATACGCAGTGACAGAGCATTAAAGGATTCGTGTCGCCAGCCCCAGAGAGCAACAGCCTCACTGCCCTTCCTAACCAGGGCATGCTTGCAGTGCTCCCGCCCTTGTGTTGATAATATACAAACAATCTGAAAGAAACACCCACCAGCCATGCTGCTCTCTGGCCAGAACCCCAAGCAGCTGAGTCCTGTTGTGGTGATGTGGAGGGGATGCCTGTGCCATGTTAGCAGTGCCCCGTGCCTGCCCTACCCACCGCTGAAGTCCAAACCATGACCGTTCCCCTTCAGCCACAGTTACTATCATTTAGCAGCTCAGCGGTATTTCCCCCCACGTGCCACTGAATGAGGCATTTGGTATCTTATCCCCATGGATCGAGCAAGTTTGTTATGTGTGTAGCTTTATATATGGATGACACATCAGAATATTATTCAACACTGAGTATTATTAGTAGTGCCATTGCTAGCTCCACCAGTACATCACGAAGGAGATCATTTTACAGACGAGGAAGCTGAGCCACATGGAGGGGAAGTAACTTGCCCAAGGTCACCCAGCAGGCCAGTGCCATAGGCAAAATAGATCTCCTGAGTCCCACAGTGTTGTATGCATTGGGCAACACTACTCATTTGAATGATCTTTTAAACATACCAGCTGCCGCCATGAGCTTTTATTTAAAGTGAATGTAGTGCAAGTCTAAGGTGCTGGGCTTCGAGCCCTGGAAAATGAATGGGCAATAGCTGAGCAGACTTCCCCCAGCACAGTCCATCTATGGGCCAGAGAAGAGTTGAATCTCCAGGGCTCATTTGATCTTTGCTCTCTCTGCTGAGATGGCTAGAAAGAGCACCAGCTTGTTCCAGTTGCGATGGTGCTTTCAGGTTGTAGACATGTGTTTGCTAGTCACGCTCTCATGTCCCAGCTGCATTTCAAAGAGGCCACCAAACAGCTGTCCAATTCAGGCTGGAGGTCTCCATTTGCCTGGGGTGCCTGATCTAGATGCTGACTGGGTTTTTTCTCCATTCAACCCAACACTCTTCTCAATGTTATTAGTTTCAGCAAATCACAACAAAGGGACAAGACATGCACCCACAACCCTGCCTGTCTTCTAATAAAGCAAATAATTATAGAATCGTAAGATTGAAAGGGACCTTGAGAGTTCTTTTTGTCCAATCTCCTGCACTCATGGCAGGACTAAGAATTATTCTATATTATGCCTGACAGATTTTGTCAAAGCTGTTCTTAAAAATCTTGAATGATAGAGATTCCACAATCTCCCTAGACAATTTATTCCAGTGCTTAACTACCCTGACAAAGATTTTCCTAATGCCCAAATCTAAGCTGCCCTTGCTGAAGTTCAAACCCATTGCTTCTTGTCCTATCCTCAAGGAGAAAATTGTTCTTGGTAACCTTTAAAACAACTTTTTATGTATTTAAAAACGTATGTCACTCCTCCTCGGTCTTCTTTTCTCACCTAAACAATTTTTTTTTCAAATCTACCCTCAGGGTTATGCTTTCTAGACCTACAATCACTTTGGTTGCTCTTCTCTGGACTTTCTTCAATTTGTCCACATCTTTCCTGATCTTTCCAGTGAAGTACTAAATCAGTGCTAAGTAGAGGAGAAGAATGATTTCTCATGTTCTGCTTATAACACTCCTTGTTAATATATCCTAGAATGAGGTTTACTTTTTTTTTTTGCGCAACATTACATTGTTCATTCAGATTTAGCTTGTGATCCACTATGATCCCCAGATCCCTTTCCGCACTACTCCTTTCTAAGCTGTCATTTCCCATTTTATATATGTATCCATTTGATTGCGCCTTCCTAAGTGAAGCACTTTGCATTTGTCCTTATTGAATTTCATCCTATTTCCCTCAAACATTTCTCGTTTGTCCAGACCATTTTGAATTATGCCCCTATCCTCCAAAGTGCTTGCAGTCCCTCCCAGCTCAGTATCATCTGCAAATTTTGTAAGTGTACTCTCTATACCATTATCTAAATCACTGATGAAGTTATTGAACAGAACCAGACCCAGAACTAATCTCTGTGAGGCTCAATGTGATATGCCCTTCCAGCATGACTATGAAGTATTGATAACTACTCTCTAGGAGTAGTTTTCCAACAGTTATGCATTCACCTTCTAGTAGTTCCATCTCAGTTGAATTTCCCTATTTATTGGTGAGGTTATACGAGACAGTAGGAAAAGCCTTACTAAAGTCAAGGTATACCACAGCTATAGCTTCCCCCCCTCCACAAGGCTTGTTACCCCATCAAAGAAAATTCTTAGGTTGCTTTCATGCAATTTGTTCTTGACAAATCCATGCTGACTTATTTATCAGCTTCTAAGTGTTTGCAAATTGATTGCTTATTCTTAGGTTGCTTTCATGCAATTTGTTCTTGACAAATCCATGCTGACTTATTTATCAGCTTCTAAGTGTTTGCAAATTGATTGCTTAATTGTGTGCTTCATTATCTTTGAGTACTGAAGTTAAACTGACTGGTCTGTAATTCCCCAGGTTATCCTTATTTCCAATTTTATAGATGGTCACTATATTTGTCCTTTTCCAGTCCTCTTGAATCTCTTCTGTCTTCCATGACTTTTCAAAGTCATAGCTAATCGCTCTGATGGCACAAACACAAACACAGCCCCACACTCTCATACCCTCCTGCATAACACAAGAGGCACCCTCAGACTAACACACACATGCACACACACACTCATCTGCATGCAAAGTTCCCTGTGCAAAATTCTGTGACCGTAGCTTTTGTATTTTCTATTCTCAGCCCTGTGTGACCTCTTCATTTCCTTGCCAGCTCATTCTCCAGCCTTAGCATTGCATGCCAAGCCTCTTTGAGGAGACGGGGTGGGTGGGAGAGTGGACTGCTCATTCCTAAAAATTGATTCTGCCACTAGGTTTGCTGAGTTGGTAGAGACCAAGCAGGCAAGCTCCAACTCCCTGACTCCTGGGTGGGGACCATCATCAGGTAACTGGAAGGTACGTAGCCCCGCTGTCCGTTTACTTCCACCAGGCTCCATTCCTTGCTTCCCTTCTTATCATGAGGTTCCAGCACTGTCACGGGCTGCCCTGCCTGAAGACTGACCTCCTGGGGGCTCCTGGCTGTGAACGCATAACCTGCAACCACCTGGAAAAAGCAAGGAGATCAGATAGGTACAGAAAACCCTCACTGGAGAAAAGATCCAAAGGGAAGCAGGACATGAGGGCTAAAGTGATGAATGCAAGAATCCCACTCATTTAGGCCATATCAATTCAGAGAAGTGTACACTGTACACAGAGGGACAAGGGTGTGGAATTTCAGAAGCTCTGGCTACCTGTTTGCTTCTCAATTCAAGGAGTGAGTTACTGTCATTTAAGCCATGAATGCCCTGAGTGATGGGCCACACTCTGAGTGATGAGACAGACACAGATCAGTGTTGCAGCCAGGTCTACAAAAGGTAAAAATAACATTACAAACCAAAGGACATGTATAGTTGTTTGTGCCCAGGGTTAATCAAATCTCATCTGATCATTGCAGAGGTCAGGAAGGTCTTTTCCTCTAGCTCCAGCTTTGTACAACGGTCAGTTACACATAGGAGGAGTTCCTTTTTCTGGGATAGGGAATGCCAAACTAAATGGGCTCTGGATCCAGTCTGCCCTGTTCATTCCCAGCTTCCTTGGATGTGGTTACGCACATACATAACCAAGTAAGTCCTGTAGACACGTGTGTGTGTTGTGAGTGTGGCTGTATGTGCTTCCTCCAGTCTTGTGCAGTATGTGTCCAGACAGCTATATGCACAGAGGTCGGTGCCTGCAGATGTCTCCGCACTCACCTGGAAAGCTGGAGGGGCGATGAAGACCTGTGGACTGGGCCCTTCGGGTAAGGTGTAAGAATGCCGTCTTCTCTCAGCCCCAGTGTCTGGCACCAGCATCTGCATCCTGGGCTTTTGACTTTGGACCAAGTGATATGGTTGGAGTTTCCCAGCCTGGACGTACCCTCGGTGACCTGGCAGAACACACAGACTCGGTCAGGCTGGCACCAGTTCCCTGCTGCCAATAGCATGCCCTTTGGTGGATGGATTTGAGCATAGGAAAGAAGGAAGGGATGGTGACTAGTGCAAGGCTGCTCAGCTCTGCCAGTGAACCTCTCTGCTATTTGACTGCTTGACCCCACCATGAAGCATCACAAAGGGATCCTGAGATATTGCTGAGTGCAGGGGACCAAGTCATGGAACATCACAAATTGGGCAAACCCTGAGCATTATGCCCTTTGACTGCAGGCATATTAGAATTGAGCAACAATGGGTTTGGCAAAGCCAGTGGTGGGTCACATCTAGCTCTTGTTTCATCCAAACCCAGGAAGTACAGGCTGGGTGAGATAAAAGGTTCTGCTTCAGGCTAATCACCAAATACACACTTGGAACAGAATCACAACCGTCTGCTTTCTCAGTACATCAAGCTGTGCCCCGTGAGTTCCACCAGCAAAGCTCTGATATATTCCCATGCAAGCACACAGTCCAGAGCTACAGGACTAGAGTGTGATACAGGTCAGGCTTCCCAAAGGACCATGGATCTCCGTAAGGTTGCTCCAGACAGAAAAGACATGCAGCCCATACTCCAAGCAGTCTCTGCTTCCCCAGAAATTCCCAGATGGAAGCCTCCCTTGGGACAGTTCACCAGCACACAGCACTTTACTTTCTCAGACCATAGTTCTCCCTCCTGTTTTTCATACCAGCATGAGGGACCCTTGGGGTACGTCTAGACTGTGGTGCTATTTTGGGATACCAGAGGTATCCCGAAATAGCTATTCCACAGCTTTTGAACCAGCCTATTTTGAAATAACAGGCTCGCTATTCTGACGTCCCTGTAACCCTCACTCCATGATGGTTAAGGGATGTTTCAGAGTAGCGCTTTATTTCAAAATAAGGTATTTCAAAATTAGATTGAAATAAGATACGCAATTTGCATAGCTCAAATTGCATATCTTATTTCGTCCTATGGGTGCAGTGTAGATGCACCCTGGGTGTCATGGGAAAAGAGGAAGTTCCTATAGTCCGCACAAGTACCTCCAGCATCCACTAGCCATCGGTTAGTGTTGCCCTTGGTGTCCACACCATGCAGGAGAGCCACAATCTGTCCCCTCTGTAGGGTCAGGTCCAGATCTTTGCTGCCACTGATGTTGCTTGTCACCTGGTAGAGCTTTTCTGGGCCATGTTTGCTGACAAGTGAAAGGACCCTGCGCTCCTCAGCAGGGCTAAGAGGCTAATGGGAGTAAGACAGGGAAAAATCGAGTCAGAAAATGTTTCCCACTGTGAGATCTTGCCCCGAGTGTGTTTTCTTTCTTGATTATTAGGGGTTATGTGATGAGTGGCAGCAGGGTGAGGAGCTCCTGTCAGTTGCAGTTAAACATCTGATCTGCTTTTGGGTATGAAGCTGGGTCTCCAGGGCTGTAGTCTGATGTGGAGAATTCCCTGGATCTCCACAATTACCAGCCATCCATTGTCAAGGAGTCAAAGCCCTCTGCATTGCAGTTAGCTATCCCCAACCTCACTTACTTTCCAGTGAGGTGTTCTCCTGCATTTGTGACCCTGAGAACTTACCTCAATATCTCTAATGGGAGAAGGTGTCTGGCTCCTACCTGTATCATAGGACTCGGCGTGACCTTCTCAAATTTCTGGCAGAAGGAGTTAAGCTGAGCAGTAGATTGGCTTAAAGTGTCCTTGACCATCTTCCAGAAAGTGGGCATGGGGATGTGGCTATGTGGCAGCTGTGGAAAGAGACCCTGGGATTAGAGATAGTGCTGAGGGAGAAGGGCTGTGCAGAGAAACATCCATGGGAAGGCTATAAGGAAGAGGGGGAGTATAAGTAAAGGGAATCAGAAACCATGAGAGACCAGGAGTTTCTACATGTAGGTTGTGTCTAGACTGGCCAGTTTTTCTGGAAAATCAGCCACTTTTCTGGAAAAACTTGCCAGCTGTCTACACTGGCCGCTTGAATTTCCGCAAAAGCACTGACTTCCTACTGTAAGAAATCAGTGCTTTTTGCGGAAATACTTTGCTGCTCCCGTTCGGGCAAAAGTCTTTTTCTGAAAGACTTTTGCGCAAAAGGGCCAGTGTAGGCAGCAGAGATTTCTTTTCCGCAAAAAAGCCCCGATGGCGAAAATGGCGATCGGGGCTTTTCTGTGGAAAAGCGCATCTAGATTGGCACGGATGCTTTTCCGCAAAAAGTGCTTTTGCGGAAAAGCATCCTGCCAATCTAGACGCTCTTTTCTGAAAATGCTTTTAACGGAAAACTTTTCTGTTAAAAGCATTTCCGGAAATTCATGCCAGTGTAGACGTAGCCTTAAAGAAGCCTGAGCCCCCTCCTCAACAAAAGCTGCTCCTGTCTGACTTTGAACTACAGCCCCTTGCCATGCATGCAATGGCCAGTGATGCCCTAGGGTCTTAGGGGAAGGCTCCAAGGAGATGAGGAAAATTCTGGTTTGATCAGATCATCTCCACAGGACAGGAGCTGTTCTTGTTCTGCATTTGTATAGCATCTAGCAAGAGAGGCAGGTCTATAACTAGGACCCTTGGCAGTACCACAATCATAACCATCAGTGGGCCATGTGGAACTCCCTCATATGGGACAGGGCCATCCCTAGCAGTCTAGAAGAAGCAACTCCAGCCCACCCACAAAAGGGAAATGGACACATGCAAATAAATGTGTGACCTCAAGGGGGAGCTCAGTGTAGCTGCCTCTGTAGAGTCAGGGCAGGAGGAAAGACCCTGCTACTTAGGATAAACCTCTTCGGCTGCCCCCTGCCGCCCCATCTATGGGGGTCAGTGGTGTAGCTTATCTACTGAGGCTACATACAAGAGCCCCTAATGCATGTGCTAGCTCAGTATATTACCTGGGCCAGCTCTATTTCTGCCTCTTGGAGCATCTGCTTGGCCAAGTCCCTCTGAAGGGCCACAAGTGAGTACAGTATCTGCTTCAGCCACTGCACGGCCACGTGGTTGAATGTGGGGAGCTCGGACAGCAATAGAGCGTTGATGGCGAGGTAGGTGTTCCTGGTGGCCTCCTCATCATATGTCATGTTGCCTGTCTCACTCTTCTTCTCCTCGATCTCCTCATAGTCCAGCAGCTTGTCCAGGCGCTTCCTGATCAGCTGTTGTGGCCCCTTCAGAGTCTCTGACAGGCTGCAGAGCGGCTGGTAGACCAACTGGTCCAACCGTCTCCTCTGTTGGAGAGAATCCAGAGGCACCCCTGTGAAATCCTGTTGTCCCCAAATCTGCCAGGCACATAGCAGCACCCCAGCCTAAACATCAGGAATAGCATGGGGGACCCTTGCAATTCATGCTCTCCAGTCCTGTCATAAATGGTATGTTGGTGCCCAGCTCTCCTGCATGGCTGGTGGCCATGAGAGAAAGGAATTCTTAGGTCTGCAGAGAGAAACTTCTGGCTCCTACTCATCTGATATAAGAGGAGCTTCCATTAGGCTCAACAAGGAGGCCTTTTGCAAACAGACCCCAGGCAGCTCTCACTAGTTACCAGATTCCACACATGATTTGTATCTTCTCAGGCACCTTTCCACCCATAGCCAGATACAACAACAGATATCCTTCCCCAAGGGTTTATTAGAACACTAAGAACCACCAACCCACCCAGCTAATTCTGAGCCACTGAAACTGCAGCAGTGATCAGTGTGGGACAGAATGTAGGAAGAGCAGGCTTCAGAGGGTGTTGAGTCCCTGGCAATAAGTAGGCATCATGGAATGACATAGGCATGGTGATAGTGAGGTTGGGGAACATTTGTAGTGATAAGCCTAAATTTTGATTAGGGGGCCAGGGATCCTTCAGAAGTGGTGGGAGGGCTGGAGCTGAGGCACACGTTCCCTGTGGAAAAATGTTCACCAGCAGGTGTGATGGATAGGAGGAGTGCTGTCCAGCATTTGGTGACGAAAGGATTAAACTCAAGTAGCTAGCGGGTGCTGGCAGAGAGCCTGGAGAGCCAATGGCTGAGGGTGTTGAAATTTGAATTAAAAAGATATACCTGCCTGCTGTTTTCTTTGTAAGAGTTTTTAAGCTAGGAGCTGGCAAAATGAATTGAACCAGGCAGAACTACCATGCCTACAAGGAATACTGGGCATGGAAATAGATTGGACCTTGAAGCACAGATCGTGAGTAGATGGGGGGAAAAAATGTATATTAGTCACGATCAGGTTACTTTCTTTGTTTTGTTGTTTGATTAAACTTCTCTGTGCTAAGTCCATGTGCCCCCCATTCACTGTATCTAAGCTGCACCCAGAGATACCATTTTTTCTGTGTTTTAATCTGTTCTTTTCTTAGTTGCTCTGTAATACCTAGAAACCAAGTATGCTTTATCATGTAAAGCTTTTTTTATTTATTATTAAATAAAATCACCTTTTTTTAAGGCAATGATTTGATTCTCATATCCTGGAAGGTAGCAGGAGGTCTGTATGTGCATGCCTAAGACTGAGAGGTCAGCTATCAGAGATTGCAGTTTGTTTTCTCTTTTTTTTTCTTCAAGCTCTCTTGTGGTAAAAGAGCTTGGGGTACCTCTCTGGAAAAAGTTCAAGTGCTTCTTCCTGGGTCTAAGAAGGGGATGTTTACACTTGATGGTGGCAGCCTATTTCCCAAGGCCAGGGAATATCTAACCTTTGGGAGTTTTTTTAAGCAGAAGCCTATAGAGGTAAGGTATGTAATGTCTCTTGAGGGCCCCCACCTCCCGCACTCGAAGTGCCAAAGCACGGGGAACAGCCTTGACAGCAGGCAAGTCCAAAAGCCTTTGTAATTGCCTTTCCTATGGGCCTCTCCTCAGATGCAGCCCTGCCCTCACTTCTAGCTGTAGGCTAAGGAGAACAGCTCTGGGTGGAACCCGCAGGGGCATCACTTAAGCTCCCTGCCCACACAGATGTGACACGGCACTCACAAACTCTGGGAAGATGGTGCGATAGCTCACACTCATGTGGTTTGGAAAGGAGGAAGACCTGGGAGACAGGAGAAAAAGGGACAGAGAACCTTTGAACTGTCCATCTGTGTTCAAACTTGGCTGTGTCAGCCTTCCCTGAAGGCAAGTTCAGAATGCAACCTACCCTGTTCAAGCCAGTTGTAAACTCCAGGTACTTATCGTTTCTTCCACCCAACCTCCTGTCTGCTTTTCTTTGAGAGTAAAACTACCGCAGCTGTCCCACATCCTGCAGTGTTCAACACCAAGGCACTCAGGCTGATGAGTCTAAACTGCCTCCAATAATAAAGCAATGGACTCAGCCTGGCATCTCGAAGTTACCCTATATACGAAGCCAGTGCTCCAAGCAACTCTAGTAGCAAGCCAATTTGTGCGTTCAATGCTTAGGAATGACACCCAGATCAGGGTGCAAACCAGGTGCAAGAGCCCCCCTCCAGTAACAAACAGGTGTCTGCAGCCCAGCGATCACAAGAAACCCTGCAGAAGTCCAAATCCACTCCTGGTCTGAGATCTGGCTGTCAAGTTTCCAGGGCTGTTGCACTCTCCCCTGCAGCAGTGTATCTGGGGCCATTTTGGTACTCCCTGGCACACGGAAGTATGGGGGCGTGGCTACTGTGAACTCTCATGCTGTCCAGAGGACTTAGCCTGAGATCATATAACCTCAGGTTCTCTGCCAGGAGGTGGAGACTGGGGAGCTCATGCGAAGAGAGAGGTGGCTCACAAATGTCCCCGGTCCAATACTGTGACAGCCTGAGCTCCTAGAGGCTTTGGTTCGACATCTCCCCTCACGGACAGCATCTCTCCCACGGCTGCCCTTCAAAGGCAGCATTCAATCCTGAGGGGGGAATCCAACCCGTAAGGATTTGGCCTGGCCCAGAGATAAAAATCCCCTGCCCGCCAGCCATAAGGACCCCTGCCTGAGGGCAGCTGCTGAGGTGACTGGAGCTCTTAGCTCTGCCATCCAGATGGGTTCTCTTCCTCTTCAGAGGAATACTCTCCAATCCCCTCAGTCTGTGAGCTGTGTACTGTTCCTAGCAGGGCTTCCATGGAGCACTACCCGAGAGTGCCAGGCTCAGACTGGGCTAGCGTCTCCTCCATCCCAAGTGCGCCCTTCTCTCCCCCACCCTCCACCGGAGGAGGTCACGTGCAGCTCCTTTCAGGCCCTCTTCACTACCGAAAAAGTGGGAGCCAGAAGCAGTGACTATGATGCGGGGAGGGATCTTTGTCCCCGCAACCACAGTGTGGCTGTTGTTTCTGAGGGCTGAGCTACACTTGAGGCCTGTGGAGGCTCCTGTGGGAACACTGCAGGGTTTGCTGGGTTTGTTTAGAAGGTGATTTGTCTCTGTGCTTGTGGCTGAGGGACTGGCACGTGCAGCTGGATGAGGGATTAAGGAGCTGCTAAGCAGCCAAATGGTGCATTAGGAGTCAGGTCATTTCCATGCAGAGGATCATATCATCTCAGGCTTACCAGGGGAATTCAGTTCAGCGTGGGGACTTTAGAACCCACAGACCTTACATGACCCCTGAGAGTCCTCTGCACTGGGGTAGATTTCACCCATCAGAAACTAGTCCCCAATCCCGCCAGGTGCTGAGCACCCTCAACTCTCATTGGTTTCAGGTGGAGTGGAAGGTGCTCAGCCATCCACAGGAGCTTGCCTGGACTACCTCATAGGATCTCTAACCCCCAAGCATTATGGGATGAGTAGGCTTTACCTGTAAGTTGTCCAGGTAAGTGGCTATGTTCTCTTTCAGCTCAGCCGCACAAGATGCCAGGGACTGAAATTTTTCCTCCAGATAGTCAAACTCTTTATCCTCTGTCTGAAAGTCAATGGGGAGAGGATATAACATGAGCTAGTCCAAGCAGGGACAGTGCTCCTCCAGACCAGTGGGATGAGCTGGATTGCAGCACCAAATGGAGTGACTCGGACAATACTTAGGGAATACAGAGGGAAAAATCCTGGGAGTTTTGCCATGGGCTTCATCAGACTCAGAATGTCTCCCAGAATATACATGAATGGTAGTAGAATCATGCAGGGTAGAGGCAAGGGACAGAAAGGCTTTTAGTGTTTTTTGGCAAACACACCAGCCAGAGCCTACAGTAAAGATCCACTCCACTGGGTTTGTTTCCCTTACTTGAGATCCTCAAGGGTCCCTCATTTGAGTCCCCCAATCCATGCCTTTAGGGTTGAGCAAGCTGCCTCCACAATGCTCCATGGTTTTGCACACCAAGAGCATGAATCAGATACCTGAGCTCAGACCACTAAGCCAACTTTTAAATTTGGGACAAATGAACTCAGGCGAGTCACATGAGGACATAAGAATCTTATATGAGGTCATGAAGCACATGATCTCAGCATCGATCATCCTAGAACCTCCGTGTAGTTTGACACGTCACATTTACAAGCCACAGAAACACCACATGTGACAAATGAGGTGCTTTCAGTAAGTGGCCTTGCTGCCCTTGCTTGAAGAGTTTTCCTCCACCTGTGTAACTAGCACACACATACTGTCTGCTTCCTGGGAGCTGGATGTGAGCAGGAGCCTCACCTTGGGCACAATGCCAGCTTCGTGCATGAAGAACCGGCTCAGCCGCGTGGTCTTCTTGGCAATGGAGTGTTTGTTGAGCCGTCCAATGCGCTCCCGCAGTGTCAGCTGCTCGACTTTGTTGTATTTGGTAGCTGCCTCAGGACAGAAGGGGAGGAAGATAAACAGGTGAGGGAATCAAGAAATATCTAAGCCCTGGATCCCTGGCAGGGATCTCATCTCATTCAGTTCTTTGGGGCCCAAATGCAGAGCAGTGACCCCTCCTTTATGGGAGGGAGCATGACAAGCTGTAAATCACCTACCTGTTTACTCCATTACTTCCTGTAGCTGTCCCCTGGACACTGTTACCCTCCCCCATGCCTCTTAACTTTCTGGCCAGGGCCTGTCTCTTGCTGAATGTTTGTGCAGTGTCTAGCACAACAGGGCCCTGATCCCCCCTGTATCACAGGTGCTACTGTGATAGAATCATAGAATTGTAGAACTGGAAGAGACCTCAAGAGGTCATCGAGTCCAGTCCCCTACCCCAGTGGTCACCAACCAGGAGATCAGGATCTACCAGTAGATCTTGGAGCCTCTGACAGGGGATCCTGACTGGTTTGGCCAGGAAGCTCTCAAGTGCTGGCACCTCAGTTGCCCCTCCATCCATTGTCAAGCTGCTCCTGCCCTCTGCCTTGGAGCTGACCCTTGGAAGCCTCCTGCTTGTGTGCAGGGTGTAGAAGGGGGGGGGGCTGTTGCCAGGGTGTCCCTCCTCCCCCCACTCCTATACTCTGTCTCCACAGAGTGAAGGGGATGGAGGGAGCTGGCAATGCAAATCTCTGTCACTCACACACTGTGTGTGTCTCTGTCAGTCTCACAAAACGCACTGTCCTTTCCTCTCATCTCCTGACCCAACACGTACTTGGGGAGTTGTTGCTACTTCTTTCTACTGCTTGCAAAGTGGGTTAGTTTTAGTGTTTGACTGGACTGTGCATTTCATAACTTTCATTTCTCTCTTATGCTTAAATTTAATTCTTTGAGTACTAAAACACCTCACTGGTCGTGTCTGGAGTAATTGCCCCCTAGGGTTGGTTGGGCTCCTGGAGGTGGCTGGCATGTCCCTGCAGCCCCCTGAGAAGGTCAGAGCAGGGGCTCTCCATCCTTGCCAGCAGACACCACTCCTGCAGCTCCCATTGATCAATAATGGAGAACCATGGCCAGTGGAGTCAGTGCCTGAGGGGCAGCACATGGAGCCATTGCTGTACATGCCAGCTGCTTTTGGAGGGGAGAAGGGCTGGGAGCTGCCTTGGCTCTGCTGCTCTATCCTTGGGGCAGCTGTCTAATTGCTCCTAGGGTGGGCAGGATTTGAACCCACCCCTCTGTGCTCCCCAGGCAGCTGCCCTAATCCCTAGTCCACCCCCCTACTCTACTCTACCTTCAGTGGGTCCCTTATCCTGTGTCTGGTCACTCCCAGGGTGGGCGGAGGGGGTGGCTTGAAGGTAGAGAGGTGGAGTGGGATCTCCAGTCAACTTGAGGATGAGCATTAGCCCCTGGAGCACAGGCCGGTGGGCTCAATCCCGCCCCCCTCCACCCACTCAGGTAATGGCTGGGCCGCCAACACAGGCTGCCTGAGGGATAGACCTGGCTCCCATATTAGGGAGGCAAGATAAGGGACCTGCTGAAGGTAAGGTAAGGTGGGGGAATAGAGCATTTGCCTGCAAAATACAGCGTGGTGGTTTAAGACCAGTCCTCCTTAGGCAGCCCCAACCCATCCTGGGAGCAACTAGACACAGGAAAAGGGACCTCCCACCCAAAGGTGGGGTGGGCTCGGCTCCTGAATGGACCAGGAGATACAGCACTTGCCTAAGGAGAACAGGATTGTGGGTTGGAGTCTTTGCCCAAGCCCTGCCCATCCTGGGAGCAACCAGACAGCCAACACAGGATAGAGAACCCACCAAAAGTAGGGAGATGAGGAGAGCTCAGCTCTGGAGTGGCCTAGGGCATTCACCTGGAAAGCACAGGGCAGTGGGCTCAAGTCGTGGCTGCTCTGGGAGCAGCTAGACTGCTGACCCAGGCTCCTGCACTAGGAAAGCAGGATAAGGGACCCCCTGAAGGCAGGGGAGTGAACCCTGGAGTGTCCCAGGGCAGTGCCTCTCAACCAGTGGTCCAAGCATTCTTAGGGGCACTGAAGAGAAGCCTGGGAGTACATCAACACAACTGAAATTTGGAGAAAACTGAGTTTTTGTTTTAAGTTTTACAGCATTTTATTATTTTTGTACTTTTTACACCCAACTATTCCATCACCCACCCAGATACAATTAAGTTGTTTAAACAAATGTGTTGAAATGGTAAAAAAGAAATTGTTTGTGTGAAAACTGTAGGTACTGGGAGGTACTTAATTTTTTTTAAGGGATACTTTATAAAAAAAAGGTTGAGAAACACTGGCCTAGAGGATAGGGCATTTGCCACACGCCCAAGACTAGAGCCTGCACCCGTACCCCAATGAGGGTAGATTCAGGGAGGAAGGGCAATAGAGCAAGCAGGGTGAGGCCACAGAGAAGGGAGGAAGGAAGCTGAGCAAGGGTGTTTGGGTTGGAGGTAGATCTTACATTGCACTACATTGAAAAAGTGATTTTGTGGTTAAAAAGGTTGGAGACCACTGCCCTACCCTCACAGCAGGACCAAGCACTGACTAGATGATCCCTGGCAGGTGTCTAACTTGCTCTTAAATATCTCCAGAAATGGAGATTCCACAACCTCCGCTAGGCAATTTATTCCAGTGTTTAACCACCTTGACCGTTAGGAAGTTTTGTCCAACCTAAACCTCCCTTCCTGCAATTTAAGCCTATTGCTGCTTGTCCTGTCAGAGGCCAAGGAGAATAAGTTTTCTCCCTCCTCCTTGTAACACCCTTTTAGATACTTGAAAACTGCTATATGTCCCCTCTCAGTCTTCTCTTTTCTAAACTAAACAAGCCATTATTTCAGTCTTCCCTCATAGCTGCTCATGGTTTCTAGACCTTTCATCATTTGTGTTGCTCTTCTCTGAACCTTCTCCAATTTTTCCACATCTTTCTTGAAATGTGGTGCTGAGAACTGGACACAATACTCCAATTGAGGCCTAATCAGTGCAGAGTAGAGCAGAAAAATGACTTCTCGTGTCTTGCTCACAACTCTCCTGTTAATGCAGCCCAGAATCATGTTTGCTTTTTTTGCAACAGCATCACACTGTTGACTCATGTTTAACTTGCAGTCCACTATGACCCCTAGATCCCTTTCTGCAGTACTCCTTCCTAGACAGTTACTTCCCATTCTCTATGATCGAAACCAGAGCCAGCCCAAGGTACGGGCCAGCCGGGCTACCGTCTGGGGTGCCCCATTGTAGGGGGTGCCAGGCTGGGCAGGGACAGGGCCGCGCATACACTGGGCACCTGGTGCACTCAAATGGCTCGGGCTGGCCCTGAGCGAAACAGATTGTTCCTTCCTAAGTGGAGTACTTTGCATTTGTCCTTATTAAACTTCATCCTGTTTACCTCAGACCATTCCTCTAGGTTGTCCAGATCATTTTGAATTTTGACTCTCTCCTCCAAAGCAACCCCACCCAGCTTGGTATCACCTGCAAACTTAATAATCGTACTCTCTATGCCATCATCTAAATCATTCATGAAGATATTGAACAGACTCCTGCAGAACCCCTTCCAGCATGATTGTGAGCTGTTAATAACTACTCTGAGAATGTTTATCCATCCAGAAATAATAGGACACAACAATAGTAAAACACAAAGAAAGGATCACAGGAAATGTAACGTTACTCTAATCAGACTGATTAGTGGAAAGAAACAGACTTCTCAAATCACTCAGAATATTCAGACATAACAGGCTGACATTTTAAAAGAGGGTGAGGGATAATTTTTGACAGGGGGCCACTCCAAGATTTTGGAAAGTGGTCGAGGGTTGCACTCTTCCATGATATTAATGGAGGAGATGCAGGGTCTGGGATGGAGGTTGGGTACAGAATGGATCTTGCGGTAAAGGATTGGGGTGAAGAAGGGAGAATGGAGTCTGGGAGGGAGTTGGGATGAAGCAGGGCAGGGGATTGGGGTTCAGGGGATTGGGGTGTGACCTAGGGTAGAAGGGGATTGTGATCTGGGGCAGGAGATTGAGGTGCCAGATCTGGGAGGAGATATGGGTATAAGAGGGGGACAGGGGGTATGGGTATGTTCAGTGGGGGCAGGGTAGAGAGTTGGGGCAGGAAAGGGCTGGGGTGCCAGAGGCAGGCTGTGGCCAAGAGGCTTACTTGCCAGCTGCCAAACTAGCCTGCCTGCCTCCCTGCAGAGCTTAAAATGTTTCCCAGCCAGCCTGCCTGCCTATGTGCTTCATGAATAACTGAGCAGAGGAGAGGGGGGATGGTTCTTCTTAGCTGCCTGTTATTCCAGTGTTTCCCAACTTTTTTTGGCCAAGGTACCCCTTTATAATTTCGAGGAACCCCATCAGGAAAATTGGTCGAGCAAAAAGAGGAAAAAAAAAAGAAAAAAGAAGATAACTGTCTCTTTAACAGGGGGGGGAGGAGGAGGGAGTTCCAAGTTCTCACTGAACCCTTACTTTCACAGAGCACTATTTGGGAAACACTGTGTTACTCCAACAAACAGCTCACATTGGCTGGGGTGTGCCAGAAACTGGCCTGTGGGAATGTGCTGGGGGCGGGGTGACTCCTAAAACTTCCCCGCTCCCTCCAGTTTTAAAACAGAAATGGAGCCCTGCAGCTGCGTTTCTGCACAGTGTGCGGGACAAGAAGGAGAGCCTGCCTGGGGCTCCCTGCTCACTCCGTGAGCTGGCCAAAGCCATCCCATGGGCTATATTTTGCCCAGGCCTGTTTTAAAAACTGCTTGTAGTTTCATGCCTGCAAATCACATGGCTAGGACAGAACTCTGGCACTAATGACTGGCTGCAGAAGTCATCTGCATGCTGCTAGATAGTATTCAGTGTATTCAAGTGAATTGCTTGGTTGAATACAAATAATTTAGAAAAGAAGAAATAAAAAAGAATGTTACAAGCTTGTCTGTATTTTGCACCATTGGGTAGGGTGACTTTGACTTTTACTGCTCTGAGACCAACAACAGATAGGTCAGTTTCACCTTCTCTTTTAGTCATTTTCAGTTCA